CTCCTTCTGACATCAGCCCGCTCTGTTCCCAGAACAAGCTAAACCCGTTTTGCTTACTGAATCAGCCCCGGTTCAGGCGCTTTGCTCAGTGGCCCGCTATGCCATCCACCCAAACCAGCGTGGCGTTCGTGCCTTGCGCGAAGCCAGACGGGGGGAACCGGCTCCCCCAGAGTTTGGCTCCTTGTGCTCCACTGTGGCTCCGTCCCTTGCCTTGCGCTGAAATTGAGATGGGGCAGGAAAGGGGCCCCCGTGGGCCTCCCTGGGTGCCTGAGACAGGCCTGGACGAGGACAATTTCTTGGCACGGCAAAGGGGCAGCAACGGAAGCCGAGGAGAGGAGAAGGAGAGGTGGTCATCTCTTAACAAAGGAAGGAACGAAGTTGAATGACATTACAGGATCGAAGCTGGAGCAAGCCGGGCCAAAACCATTGCAACACCCCCCCCTTGTGGCCAAAGGGCGATTCTGCGTGGTCCATGAGCTCTGCATGCCCTACAAGCAATTGCTTGGCTGGGTTCACACAACGCACTGAACCCTTAACCCGGGTCCCTGAAATGTGCCATGCTCAAAGAAATAAATCAGGTGACCAGGCCCAGTTGGCCCAAGCTGCAAAGCCAGTGCCTGGTGTTTCTACAACATGCCAGGCCACCCCCTGCCCACTGCCATTTGGGTGTGTTGTGCGAACCCCGACAACTGTGCTCCAGCCTCTCTCCTCCGAGCTACACATGCGTGGGTTCCTACCAGCAAGTACGTTCAACTGGGCTTCCTTTGTGCTGCATCCGAGTGGCATTCGCTTTAACCTCGACAAGTTTGGGGTTTGATTTTGGCGGTTGGGTGAGTTGTGAGAATCTAGCCCGCTTGGTTAGGAGATGGCTGCCTCATGGGCCAGTGCAGAAAATGGGTTAATCTGGGACCCAACTTAAAGATCTAGAGCGTGTCAGCGTGCAGGAGGGAGGGAGGAATCAAGTTTAAAAAGAAAGAAACAGTAGGGGAGAATGACTTCATATATCGGGACAAACCATGACTTGCTTAACCATGGTTAATCTTAAACCACAAGACGCTAAGATATACCTACCAAGTTACCCCAATTTCCTAGAACTATCCTATAAGCAGTAAAATCTTGCCATGGACAAACCCTCGATTTTTTCGAATGATGGTTTATCTGTGTGTGCGTGTGTGCACGTGCGTGTAACCAGATTCCATGATGGTTCCTGTTGTTGCTGTTACCCATTTGGGAGCTCCCCCTGGAAGTGCTCAACGTCCATTTGATTCACAGAGGCTCTGCCCACAATTAAAGCCGTTCAAAGTCGAGGCAAATGAAACGTGAAAACTTAGAAAGTTTTTCCACCGCCTTGCGCGGTTTGAGACTAGGCCTTCCTATTACGAAGATGATGGTTTCCTCCAACAATGGCTAGGAGCAAAATAAACAGGTTCATGAACCTAGTTTATTTTGCTAAGCCCGGCGCACACGAGAAAAGGCGTCCTTCAGAAATGTGTTTTTCCTGACAATATTTTGTTTATATCTTAGAAGTCAGGGAGCAGATTTCTCACCCACCCACCCCCCAAAAAATGCAGTTGCAAAATTGCTTTTGGAATCAGCTTGCCTTTAATTTTATTGAAGGAAGTGGCCTGCCAGTTACCTTCTGCTCGAGGAAGAAGTCTTTTGGGGTTCAGTCCTTGAATGTTACAGGAACGGGGAACATATAACACGTCTAATAAAAGAAATTGGACTCAGAAATAGATCGGCACATATTAAAGTGGCCTTGGGCCAACGGTGATGGAGCATTTGGAAGAAGAAAAGGTAATTTGGGGCGTGGCTTTGTCCTGAAAAAAGAAGAGTGGATCTTGAGCGCCGTTTCCCCACCGTGACAATTTCCAGATGTGGGGACTTCAAATCCCAGAATTCCACAGCCAGCCTGGCCCTTGGCGAGGATTCTGGGAATGGAAGTCCCCACCCCTGGAAGTTGCTAAGATTGAGAGAGGCCAATCAGGAGAAACAGACATTTGCGCTGTTGCAGGCGAGTTCATTCCACAACTCTCAGTAAGGCAACTGCAACGGGGTGTAGAGACGCCAGGTGTCAGCCGAGAGACACGAAAACTCTGAGTTTCGGCTCTGCTGGGCGTTCATACAACCAGATCCATGAGCCGACAACTACACAAAGCTTGGCTAGGGCTAACGATGTCTAGGGGGTTTCTTTTTCAATGGGGCAACGCTTTTTGTGACTCCTGCCTTTGTGTTTGTGGATGATATTGGGGTTTCCGACGCGTGTACGTCTAGAAAAGAGTTAAAGATTCCTGCAAAAGAAATGGGAATAAACACACCGGAGCCCCCTCGATTCCCAAATGCTGAAACGAGGCGGTTTTCCGTGCTTTTTTTAAGCTGGGAAGGACAAGGAAACCTTAATGCAAAGCCTAAAATGGACTGAATGCAGTTTTAAAAGAAACGAGAGCAATGCATCGCTTACGGCTGGGCTGGGTCGGGCCAGTTTTGGGGGGCTGCGCTGGGAAGCACATTTTGTGGGATTTTATTCCTCTTTACATTTCACAGCCATTCCACGGGTTACGTGATTTATTCAACAGGCATCTAATGGGTCGTTTTTCATCTGCATTTCTTTCAGATTAAAAATAGCAGCTTGGTACGAACCTTGGCCCAAAGTGTTGGAGGATTTATTAAGTTGGTCATTTTAAGGTGCTCCTTTGTAGTGTTTTTTCAATCTTGGCAATTTTAAGAGGTATGGACTTCAACTCCCAGAATTCCCTAGCCAGCATGCTTTAAGATGGGTGGACCTGAACTCTCAGAATTCCCCCCCCCCCACCGCGGTGTGGGGGGGATGGTTGGGTGTGGGGTCAGTCCCCTCTTAAAATAACAAACAATAATAAAAAATAAAAAAAAAAA